CACTTCATGGTACTGTCCTTTTCACTATGGGGAACACAAGATGAATAGGATATAATTTGTGCCTACAAAATGCTAGTGATATAGTAAGTTATGTGTCACAAAAATACTATAAGGTTTCAGACAAAATAACATCTGTGCTGCCCATAGAAATATAAATAATATTTGGAAAAGTCTCAATTACAGTGTGGGAGTGAAGGGTAAAGAAAGTAATATAGGTTTAGAGAGAGATCCTGCAAAGGCTTAGAATCAGGACAGTTCAAGTGCTATTGGGCAATCACCAGCGGTTCACTTGGGCCTGAGTGTCAACTATATTTAGGAAAAAATGGACAGTAAATTTGTAATGATAGATTGGGGCCAGATCAGGGGCCATTAGGAATAAGGAGTTTGTTGTTTAATGAACATTTGGCATTTTACAGGCCATGAGAGTGACGTGAAAGGTTTTTGATCAGAAGAAAAACTTGATCACAGACAAATTAATCTAGTAGTCACTGTAGAAATGGGTTGGAGCATGGAAAAATTGGAATATTTGAGGGGAAGTCTCTTAATAGCCCATTCTAATGTGATGGGAGGTACTGAGAGCAGGAACATGGGCAGGATACTGAGTGTAGAACGGATTTTTTTTTTTTAAATTTTTATTAGTTGGAGGCTAATTACTTCACAACATTTCAGTGGGTTTTGTCATACATTGACATGAATCAGCCATAGAGTTACATGTATTCCCCATCCCGATCCCCCCTCACACCTCCCTCTCTACCCGATTCCTCTGAGTCTTCCCAGTGCACCAGGCCCAAGCACTTGTCTCATGCATCCCACCTGGGCTGGTGATCTGTTTCACTATAGATAATATACATGATGTTCTGTAGAACGGATTTTAAAAGGCTTCAGAGAGAAACTTGACAAGGTGGAGCTCTTGAGTGGGAGTAGATGCTTCAGCTGAATGTTATTTTGCATAATGCCCTTAACATCCGATCAACTTTGTTCATATCATGAGATGTGGGTGGTCAAATGTCTTGTTGAAATGAAGATGTTTTGCTTTTCCATTTTCCTGACCTACTCTGATATATTCTTAGCAAACATGGCCTTCTGCTTTGTTGTTATCATTCACTGCTTTTACTGTACATTTACAACCTGCTTTTTAAAAATTGTGGTTAGAAAAAACAATATAAATTTACTGTTGACAATTTTAGGTGTGAAATATAGTATCAACTATATGCACATCATTGTACAACAGATTTCTAGAACTTTTTCATATAACAAACACTATAACCATGGAACCTCAACTCTCCAGTTTCTCCTCCCTGCAGGCCCTGGCAGCCACCATTCTATTTTCTGTTTATATAAATCTGATTACCTTAAATACCTCATATTAGTGGAATCATGCATGACTTGTCTTTTTGCCGTTGACTTACTTTGCTTAGTGTAACTCCCTCAAGGTTTATCTATGTTCTGGAACATGACAGGACTTCATTCTTCTTTTAAGGCTGAATAATATTTCATAATATGTGTTGTGATATATATGTATTTTCTTTATCCATTCATCCATTGATTAACTTTTAGGTTACTTCTACATCTTGGCTATCATGAATAGTGTCACAATTAACATGGGTGTGCAAGTATGTCTTCAGGACTCTATTTTCAATTATGTATACCCAGATGTGGGATTGCTGGATCATATCATTCTATTTCAATTTTTTGAGGAACCTCCACACTGTTTTCCATAGCAGCCACACCATTTTTCAGTCCATGAAGAGTTACCACCACTTTTAAAATACTCATTTCAGAATGTTTCTGATGGCAACTATTAAGTTCATCAGTGAGTCAGTTCTTAAATCACGGAAGGTCATAGCATGTGATGCTCATCCAGGCCCTGGCCGGCTAACCAACATAGTAGTAGCTCAATTCCAGGGGAAAAAAAATTGAACAACTCCAGACTTTCACTGTGTTTTCTCATTTGCTATGCTTCATAAGCATAAACAAATGGGCCTATGATTCCACAGAACCAGGTAACACTTAGAGGTCAGAGGGCTGGAAGATCATTTTGTACAACTCCATAACTTGTTGGGAGAAGTTATGTCATTTTCCCCCCTGGAAGGCTAGGAGTCTTGAATTTATTTAGAGAAACCTGATTTTTTTTTTTAACCTACCATCATCAGATTTCACTTCTTTTTTAACTATATAGACTCTACCCTCTTTGGCCTGAAAATAATTGCCCTTGTTTTAGAATATGAAAGCAGAATAGGGCTTAATTGTATTTGTTTGAGATTTTTCCTTCAAACGGGTATTTGGGAGATTAAACACCTAGACATTTCTTATCTTTTTCAGGAGCAGCTTAGGAACATTTCCAATAAGTCAGAAGTGTCACCATCAGTGTAATCACCAAACAAATGAATCAGATTTGACTTAAAAAACCTGAGTATTGCAAAACTAAGCCCACTCTAAAAGGACACAGATTTGGTACTACTGGGAATATTTACTCACAAAATAATAATACAATTATTTACAGAGCTGTGCACTACCATCCATGCATTCTATCACAGCACTCCATTAGTATTATATATACATATTCCCATTAAATGGATGAGGTTTGAGAGCATAAACAACTTGTCTACATTAAACTGAAATTTGAACTCTAGTCTGTCAGACACTCAAAACTACACCCTTAGCCACTGCAGTGTTACCTACTATGTGCAAGGCATTGTGGTGGAATCTGGGGGGCATTCGAGAACTGGGTAGCAAGTCCTTTGGTAGCTTATGCAGCCTACATCATGATATAAGGCAAATGTTTTACTGGAAAGAAAGTGTAACTGTCCAATAAGACATGTACTGTGTTATTTAAAGACACATGCTATAAATTCTGAAGTCCACAAGAATAGGAGGGAAGGGAGGAAGGGAGGAAGAGGGAGAGGAGAGATGGAAGGAAGGAAGGAGGGAAAGAAAATAAGTTTGAATTTAAGACATAAAGGATTATATGGTAGAAAGGGCAACAAACAAATCAGAAGGCATGGATTTTGGTTTCCAGTTATCACTTACTAATAAATGACTTTGGGTATACTGTAAATTTTATATGATGCTGTATAATTACATCATCAGGATAAGTTTATTGCTGCCAAACATGAGACTATAAATATATCAGAAAAGTTTAATTTGGGTTAATCTCATCACATTATATATATATGTGTGTGTGTGTGTGTGTGTGTGTGTGTGTGTGTGTGTGTGTATCACTTATATTATTTCATATTAGATGCAGTGCTGTGATCCTCCCCAGAACAAGTCAAGGTCCCAAGTCATCTTAGGATCAAAGGCTCCTATGATTAATTGAAATGTTAAAGAAAGGGCGAAGTAGCAGTTTAAAAAAAAAAAGTTCTTCCTTTGCTTTTTAGCTTATCTCTCCCCTCCCCCAATCTATATTCTTCCGATTTATTCAAAAAGGAGAGCATAAAAGCATCTTGTTAGCAATTCTTATCCAGGAAATATGAGCACTTAGGATCGATTGAAAGGGAACTGGGAGAAGGGGGAGTCAAGAAGGAAAAGGATGTCATACAATAAAAAAATCTAGTTGGCACACAGTTAAGAGTGTCATTTTGTGTGTATTTATCAGATGTTTAGAACATCCTTGCAAACGTTTCATTACCTCTAAACATTTTCCCTTTCCATGGACCTTTATTCTGATGCTTAGAAATACTTGAAATTCATCTAAATTTTTAAGTAAATTTTGGGAGGCAATAGAGCCCAGGGTATTACAGTTTTACATGCAGTTAAGTTGAAATTGTTAAGTAGACTGATCCCTATTATATAGTAAGCTTCCGGGGAAGGTTACTCCCAGCAGATGTTCTAAAACTGCTGATCCTCTCCCCGCCTTTTTCCCCCATAAGGAGGACTTTTGCAATATGCTTTAGCAGTGAATGTGTTGCTGTCCTACTGACAAAAGTTAGATTTCTGTCAGCAGCTTTCATTAAGGTTAGCTTTTAGCCTGTGCCCTAATCATAGCCGTGGATTTCGTTTTGGATTAGGAAACCCTAATCCACATGTAAATATTCTCCGTGATCCACACATGGTTAGCAATCTGATTACATTTTTAATGTACCTTTTTACGTCTCTTGTTATCCTTAATTACTTTTAAGAGATGTGAACAAATTCACAACATCTGTGTCTTTCCAAGTCAGTTTAACTTGTAACCAGGTAGTCTATGCACGCCTAGTCCCCCAGACCCACCCAGCTCGGAGAATCTAGAAATCTCATCTGGCCTCACCTCTCAGGAGAGGGCCTTTTGTGTGCACAGTTCTGACGAATTAAAGAACTTGACTAAGTTGAGAGATAATAAAACATCTCCCCAAACGGCAATTGTTCATTTCTGGGGACTTTTCAGAGATGGTTCTAAGCTGGCGCTGCTTCTGATGGGGACGGGGGGGTGGGGTGGGGTGGGGTGGGGGGTCGGACAGGAACCGTCCCCAAATGTGGGGGCTGATCTCCCGGAGATACCTCCAGTGGAGCTGACAAATCTCTGAAGTGGGAAATAGTTTTCCCTCCGCAGGGCCTCGGCGTGTGAGGGATGGAGGGGGATGGGCAGGGGCCATCAGGGGAGAAGTCTCCGGCCTTTCCACGTCTCTCAACACCATCCCTCCCCCACACCGCCTCCTCCTTCCCCGAATCCTAAACAAGCCCAGGAGTGAAGGGGGGTGGTCTGCGGGGGAAAGAGGGGCCCTGGCCGGGTGGCTTTGCCTTTATGGCTCTGTCCTCGACGGTGGTGGGGAAAGCCAGAGGGGAGGGGAAGCGGGCCGGAGACCCTGAGCCGGGGCTTGACCCCCAGGTGCATTGTCCGGCGGGGCCCGTCCCCTCCCCCCGGGGCCACGACCCGGGCGCCAGGGGGCCCCCTCCTAGCGAACGTCTCCCTCCGCGGCCGCACCGACTTCGCGGTCCTCAGACCAGGGGCCAGATGTAGAAAGTAGTCCCCAGGCCAGCAGCAGCGGCGCTGTCCACTCCACCGCCCCCGCCCCCTCCAGCCGTCGCCTCACTCCGCCCCCGGGCCGGACGCTCGGGCCCCCCGCCTCCTGCGAGCGGGTGTCCGTGCGCCGGCCTCGCCGCTCCCGCAGAGAGCAGACACCGGCCGCGTCACGCCACGCCGGTACCCGAGCGGGAAACCCACGCTGCGCGTGTCCAGCCGCCGCGCGAAGAGGGCTCGGAGTTGGGGACTGGCAGGCGGACACAGGCTGAGGGACGCCGGGGGAGCATGCCCGCGCAGCCCCGCTGAATGGCGCCTTCCCTGCGACCCCTTGCCCGGCTACGGCCGCCAGGGATGCTGCTCGGCGCGCTCCTGCTCCTGCCGCTCCTCGGCCGCGTTCCAGGTGGGCGCGCTTTCTTCTGCGGCGGTGGGGAGTGAGCGGGCGCGAGCGGGCTGGGGAAGGAGGCAAACGGCTGCGTGCGTTGGGAGGCGGCGGGGTCCTCTGCGGGAGCGCTGACCCCCGGCCCCTGCCCCCTCCCTGCCGCCAGTCGGGAGCCGCTGAAACGCGAGGTGCCGGCGGGCTCTGCTGGGTCGCGGGCGACAGTGGCCCCCTCTCGCAGCGGCCGCCCCTCCTCGCTGCGCTCCCCCGGCCGCGCGCTGGGCGCCGGCGACCGCTGTCCACTGTCGTCCCTGTCTCTTCGTGCCATTGTCCGCGCTCCGGCCGTGTCCTCGCTTCCGCGGCCAGCCCGGGCACCGCGCGCCCGCCTGTCTGCCTGGGCCGCAGCAGCCGCACGTGGCTTTATTTATATTGTTTCCTTAGCGGCAGCCTCGCCGCGCAGGGGGCGCCTCTTTTCCGCGCGGCTCCCGGGTTTGTAGTGGGGGCTGCCTCACATTTTAGGGCGGGCGAGAAACTAGGTGAACTCAGCTCTCAGGTCAGACTCCTAAGTGCCCCCACTTTCCCGGAACCGGATCGAATGAGGAGGAAACGGGAAGGGTGGCATTGGAAAGAGGAATGGAAGTTTTGTGACCAAGTTGGGCCCCGGAGGGGAGGAAGAAGGGTCCCGAAGCTGAGAAGGAAGGTATCTAAGTAGGATTTACTTCTCATAGCTAGGTATTTTGGCGTAGGTTCTGAGGTGTGCACAAATCTAAAGATCCCTCCAAACTCCAGGTTAGCCGTGCGCAAACTTGGATGAACTCATTTTTGGCTTTTTTTTTTTTTTTTTTTGCGTCCGGGTTGCTTTATCCTCAAAGGTTTAAGAAGTGTAAAGTGGAGGGGGGTGGGCGGGGAGAAGAGGTGTTCGGAAGAATGGGTTCTTTTATTTATTTACAGGTTACAAACCCCAGACTTTGGTGTTCTAACCACACCCCTCTTCTCCAGGAGGAGTTAGTTTTCTTTTAGCATGAGAAAAGGATCAAAGTCAGATGTGACTCGGAAACACAACGGGCGCCTTCCGGAGTGGTCCTCGCTGCGCGGGGCTGTTAGGGTCGCTCTTGTCGCCCTGGGCATCCATTAGGAGAAGTCAGCAGCCCGGGCGTGGGAGCGTGACTGGTGTGTGAGGTTTGGAGGACCTGCCTTGATGAGAAACAGATCAGTACGTGGATTGGTACTGTGAAATCAAGACAATCAGAAGGAATATGAAATGCACTCCCCCGCCCCCCGGCTCCAGGGCGCTAATACTCTACTCGGCCCCAGTCTGTATGCAAGACTTTCGTTGACCTTTGCGCTAAATGAAGGAGGTGACAGGGTATTAGTTGGTCATCGGATGCTTTATTCTGGCCGGGGCCTGGGATGTGTATACTTAGAATAAAGCCTTTCCTCTGCTCTGATGAAAATGTGTATTGGTTGATTAAGCAATCTCGTCTCCCTATTAGACAGTAAGGACCAATTAGTCACACACACCCCCCCCCAACAGTTGGTAGTTCTAAAAAAAAAAAATAGGTTTCTAATCCGATCACCCACTGAGTACAAGCAGCAAGAGTTACCAGCATTTCAGAGTCAACTGTTTGTCCTTTAAATACCTTACCATGCTCTGCAGAAATTAAGTAAATGGGTCTCTTTCAAGAAGAGACAGAATCTTTGCTGTTAAAGGGCAGGTATAAAAGTGCAAACGTGTAATTTGTCACAAAAGATAAACGCACTTCCCAAAGGACTAGGTGCCAAGGGTTTCAAAAACTCTTCAAGGCACAAGGAAATAAACTTGCTTGTTCACAGAGTTGGAGTTTTGCTAATGATTTCTTGTAAAATTAGACTTTTACGACTTACTCTGCTCAAGATCTTTTTGACAAGCTTGTAAAAGTAGCAAACAGCTTTTGCTCAAGAGCTTTCCTGATGATTTTGAAACTCTAGCAGGGCACTTGAGAACAGAATTCTTAAAAGGGAAGAAAAGTTATTGAAATCTTCCCTAGGCTTTTAGTGTAAGATGTTGTAAAAAGATTTATCTGATTTGCTGAAAAGGTTTGCTGAAACTTAGATTTGTTTATTAAGGTGTTTGTCAGTAAACTAGTTTGGTTTCTTAAACTGTGACCCATTACACTCTGAATATGTGTTTTACAATTGTGTGTTACAAAATAATTTTACACCTGTAATTCTGGATATGCCTCTCCCCACTTTCCTTGTAGGAGTATGGTGCTTTAGCGAACTGGTTTTTATAAAAGAACCACAGGATATAACTGTCACAAGGAAGGATCCAGTCGTTTTAGATTGCCAGGCTCATGGAGAAGTTCCTATTAAGGTCACTTGGTTGAAAAATGGAGCAAAAGTGTCTGAAAATAAGCGGATCCAGGTTCTGTCCAACGGCTCTTTATACATCAGTGAGGTGGAAGGCAAGCGAGGAGAGCAGTATGATGAAGGATTTTATCAGTGCTTGGCCATGAACAGACATGGAGCCATTCTTAGTCAAAAAGCTCATCTTTCTTTATCAAGTAAGTGCTTAAGTTCTTGATTGTTTGATGTTTTTCACTGCTACATTTTGATGATTTTTTGGTTTTCATTAATATGCTAACCTGAAAAATCATACATTAGGAATTTTCCTGGAGATAGTAGTTGATGCTAAGGCCTACCAAAAAAAAAAAAATCTGAGGGGAAAATATATATGCATGTATAAATTTGAATGAGTGAGAACAAAAGTCACATTCACGTTTAGAACATTAGAACTTGTAGAGGTGACTTTATATGAATAAGCACTTCAAACTCTGAGAAGAGTTGGGTGAAAAATTTGGTCAACACAACAAAGGTTGTTCTAAAATCTCATTTTTAAAATTAATAATTAAAATTTGAAAATCATAAACAGTGTTTTCTGCTTTGTAAATGGTCCTTAAACCCTAAATCTTCCATATAACCCAACCTTTCAGTTCTCTGACTGCTTTAAGATCACCCATGTTGCTTTTTAATTGAAAGAGAGGGCACTGGTCAGTAACTCTCAAGCCTTTGAAGTATTCGTAGGCTTTTCCTGCTGGGAGAGAAAGAGATTAAGGCCATTTCCATATTATGCCTAATGGACTTAAACCAGATCTGCCCACGTTTTCTCAGTTGTCATAAAGTTTGCTGTCTAATGATTTCCTTTGTATTAACAACCCCATCAGATCAACCATTTGTCCAAGTGACCCACTGCTTGGTGGTTGCCCTGATAACCATTGAGTGTAAACGGGCCTGGGATAGTTAGAGGAGAACTTGTTTTCTCTGAAGCTTTCCGTCTCTTCAGGTGATCCAACACCCAGCACTCAAGGTTACAATAGACAGAATTTAAATCTTAAGGCACACTGTATCTTAAAAACAGTTTTACAGGCATCCTATCTACATGTTTTTGTTAATCCACAAAAGATTGATTTTGCTCTACACCTACAAATTGATCATTTACAAGATGAACACTAGAAGGAGGGAGCTCTTGAGATAAAGTCATAATCTTCAGGAAATAGTTTCTTCAAGGTCTCCACAGTTGAAATTTAGGAAGCTGTTGGTGGGGATTTCCTAGGTGACTTTATTGTAACAGTCCATATTTATGCCACCTTTATTTTAGTAACTTATTTGTGCGATAATAATTAATAGTAGAAAATAAATTGTAAGCGAAGATCTTTTTGTATTGAAATATGTCAGAAAGTAGAGAAGTTTCCAATTCTAATACGCCTGAGAGAATGTCTGATAAACTTGCTTTTTTTTTTTTCTGTGATTATTGGTCAATCATCATTTGTTGCTGCTGTTGTTGAGTAGTGGTTTTTCACTACCATATTGTTTTCAGGATAGTGTGCTTTTTATGCCTATGTTTTATTCATTTAATTTTTGTCTAATTGTTCCATAAAGTTGTAATTTTTTCCCCTTTTTGGGTTTGTGGAATCTTGTGTTTTCATGTCCAAAACCCGTAACTTGTGTTACTTTGCCAGAGAGGAGAAGGGGCAGGATGGAAAGGTGGAGGCGGACTGATGGCTCTGAAAGATTTGTCATGACCACTCGGTATTTCCAAGACCTCCTTAGCAGCCTGACAATTCTAGGGCACTTAGAAATGCTTTGAAAACATGCAGAGCTTTCAGGTTTCATAAACAGTCTCAATAGTATTAATAATAGTAACTAACAAAGTTAGTAACAGTGAAACAAAGGTTTGTATTGGCTTTTGAATAGCCTTAGGTTTTGTATCTTTATAAAAAGTATTAATGACAAATATTTTTTTAGATGTAAATATTTTGAAGGATTTGGTGGTGAAGTAGTTTTGATATTTTAAGTATCAAAAAAACCTTTCTAGTTAAACTGTGTAGAACATTGCTTTGCTATTAAATATCAACTATAGTATGTTAGTTATAAGAACTACACTTTTCATATGCACACAACTTATTAACTTGGAGGAGGTACTCTGCCCAGAAAGTGCATTCAGTTATTATAGATTTAAAGTAAGATATGCCTAGTGGGTTTAGATTTTTCTTTAAAATATGAAATTTCTTAGAGGTTTAAAATTTATGAAGTCAGTTCTGATGTCTGAGAAGCAGTGTCCAATGACATTGTAGGCTTGGATGACTTTATCCTGTGTTCAGGGTGAAGATGTAATACATATTAAACAGGAAGAGAATAGGCATTAAGTGGACATTCTATTTGTGTGTGTGTGTGTGTGTGTGTGTGTGTGTGTGTGTGTGTGTGTTTGAAGGCTAGCTCTCTCCTAGTTACTGATAGCAGCGGGGTGCAAGTATGTTCTTTTTATTTTCTGGTCAAGGGTTTTGTCACCAAGCATATCATTTAGTTCTGAAGTGTAATAAGTATAGCACCTGGAAATCTAAAACTTTAATCGGT